CATGCTGTGTACGATGAATGGAGTGGATTGTGAGTGAAGTCAACTCTATATTGATTGATTAATGGGCCAATCCTCGAGGTAATGCAATACGAGGCCGACCCGTGGACGGGGTTGAGCAAGCTCACAGCACCCGTCCGAAGGCGAAAAATACAGGTAATTTCATTGGTCTCAGTTTAGAGACCGTTGCAGAAATTACACTGCAAAGAACAGATACTACACATGATCTTAGCTCAGAGAGCCGAGAAGCGATAAACTTGCAACGATTACAGCCCACCTCTGTACATTACTCGCATACATTGAATGCGCAGCATTGTTTGCAAGCATCATTCAGTCACTACATGAAGCTTTCACATCACCGACCACTGCACCACTTCATACGCTTTCAATCATCATTTCACACTGTGAACGTCACTTGCAACATCCACGACAACATGACAAATAGCAAAATCACCTCAACTATACTACGCACAAACGACACGCTCTATACTACTCAATTAGCAACACAACTACTTATAGCATCATTCACATAAATCTATGCACACATCTCTCAGTATACACACAGACACGTACCAATGCGCACAATCATCCAGTCACTCTGCATTACACAATAATACAACCAGTCACAACCGCTACAACGCAGATCACGACCACGAGCACAACTGTTCAGTGCTGAATCGCATATATAGGATCGTGCGCATATTGACGAGCGTGTCTTTCTTTGTCCAGTGACAATGGTGTTATCTTATTTGAATTTGATGTGCCCGCTGACTGTATGGAACACATCAACACACACACACACACACACACACAAACACCATGGGAGAAGAGGGAGGGCGAGTGAAGCCGACTATCAGTTGTTGATTGAAGTGCATTGCGGAATTCATGTGAACATTTTGTAGGAGTAAGCAAACTGTGTATTTGTGTATGTGGGGGGTGGGACAGGTGAACAGGACAGTAATAAGTATCCAATGGTATTGGAGTCTTTGATCTACGGTGTTTTCTTCTTGACAGTAACAAGATGACAGAGGTGATGGATGAAGATTTTGTAGTAGTGTGTGCGTACATAGGTACTGGGGTTTTGTGTTGTGCATGTGGCTTAGAGAATTTCGTATGATGCTGATGATGATGTTGTTGACTAGTGGATGGATGTAGGAAATACTGTTGGGCATGCTGTGTACGATGAATGGAGTGGATTGTGAGTGAAGTCAACTCTATATTGATTGATTAATGGGCCAATCCTCGAGGTAATGCAATACGAGGCCGACCCGTGGACGGGGTTGAGCAAGCTCACAGCACCCGTCCGAAGGCGAAAAATACAGGTAATTTCATTGGTCTCAGTTTAGAGACCGTTGCAGAAATTACACTGCAAAGAACAGATACTACACATGATCTTAGCTCAGAGAGCCGAGAAGCGATAAACTTGCAACGATTACAGCCCACCTCTGTACATTACTCGCATACATTGAATGCGCAGCATTGTTTGCAAGCATCATTCAGTCACTACATGAAGCTTTCACATCACCGACCACTGCACCACTTCATACGCTTTCAATCATCATTTCACACTGTGAACGTCACTTGCAACATCCACGACAACATGACAAATAGCAAAATCACCTCAACTATACTACGCACAAACGACACGCTCTATACTACTCAATTAGCAACACAACTACTTATAGCATCATTCACATAAATCTATGCACACATCTCTCAGTATACACACAGACACGTACCAATGCGCACAATCATCCAGTCACTCTGCATTACACAATAATACAACCAGTCACAACCGCTACAACGCAGATCACGACCACGAGCACAACTGTTCAGTGCTGAATCGCATATATAGGATCGTGCGCATATTGACGAGCGTGTCTTTCTTTGTCCAGTGACAATGGTGTTATCTTATTTGAATTTGATGTGCCTGCTGACTGTATGGAACACATCAACACACACACACACACACACACACAAACACCATGAAAGAAGAGGGAGGGCGAGTGAAGCCGACTATCAGTTGTTGATTGAAGTGCATTGCGGAATTCATGTGAACATTTTGTAGGAGTAAGCAAACTGTGTATTTGTGTATGTGGGGGGTGGGACAGGTGAACAGGACAGTAATAAGTATCCAATGGTATTGGAGTCTTTGATCTACGGTGTTTTCTTCTTGACAGTAACAAGATGACAGAGGTGATGGATGAAGATTTTGTAGTAGTGTGTGCGTACATAGGTACTGGGGTTTTGTGTTGTGCATGTGGCTTAGAGAATTTCGTATGATGCTGATGATGATGTTGTTGACTAGTGGATGGATGTAGGAAATACTGTTGGGCATGCTGTGTACGATGAATGGAGTGGATTGTGAGTGAAGTCAACTCTATATTGATTGATTAATGGGCCAATCCTCGAGGTAATGCAATACGAGGCCGACCCGTGGACGGGGTTGAGCAAGCTCACAGCACCCGTCCGAAGGCGAAAAATACAGGTAATTTCATTGGTCTCAGTTTAGAGACCGTTGCAGAAATTACACTGCAAAGAACAGATACTACACATGATCTTAGCTCAGAGAGCCGAGAAGCGATAAACTTGCAACGATTACAGCCCACCTCTGTACATTACTCGCATACATTGAATGCGCAGCATTGTTTGCAAGCATCATTCAGTCACTACATGAAGCTTTCACATCACCGACCACTGCACCACTTCATACGCTTTCAATCATCATTTCACACTGTGAACGTCACTTGCAACATCCACGACAACATGACAAATAGCAAAATCACCTCAACTATACTACGCACAAACGACACGCTCTATACTACTCAATTAGCAACACAACTACTTATAGCATCATTCACATAAATCTATGCACACATCTCTCAGTATACACACAGACACGTACCAATGCGCACAATCATCCAGTCACTCTGCATTACACAATAATACAACCAGTCACAACCGCTACAACGCAGATCACGACCACGAGCACAACTGTTCAGTGCTGAATCGCATATATAGGATCGTGCGCATATTGACGAGCGTGTCTTTCTTTGTCCAGTGACAATGGTGTTATCTTATTTGAATTTGATGTGCCCGCTGACTGTATGGAACACATCAACACACACACACACACACACACACAAACACCATGGGAGAAGAGGGAGGGCGAGTGAAGCCGACTATCAGTTGTTGATTGAAGTGCATTGCGGAATTCATGTGAACATTTTGTAGGAGTAAGCAAACTGTGTATTTGTGTATGTGGGGGGTGGGACAGGTGAACAGGACAGTAATAAGTATCCAATGGTATTGGAGTCTTTGATCTACGGTGTTTTCTTCTTGACAGTAACAAGATGACAGAGGTGATGGATGAAGATTTTGTAGTAGTGTGTGCGTACATAGGTACTGGGGTTTTGTGTTGTGCATGTGGCTTAGAGAATTTCGTATGATGCTGATGATGATGTTGTTGACTAGTGGATGGATGTAGGAAATACTGTTGGGCATGCTGTGTACGATGAATGGAGTGGATTGTGAGTGAAGTCAACTCTATATTGATTGATTAATGGGCCAATCCTCGAGGTAATGCAATACGAGGCCGACCCGTGGACGGGGTTGAGCAAGCTCACAGCACCCGTCCGAAGGCGAAAAATACAGGTAATTTCATTGGTCTCAGTTTAGAGACCGTTGCAGAAATTACACTGCAAAGAACAGATACTACACATGATCTTAGCTCAGAGAGCCGAGAAGCGATAAACTTGCAACGATTACAGCCCACCTCTGTACATTACTCGCATACATTGAATGCGCAGCATTGTTTGCAAGCATCATTCAGTCACTACATGAAGCTTTCACATCACCGACCACTGCACCACTTCATACGCTTTCAATCATCATTTCACACTGTAAACGTCACTTGCAACATCCACGACAACATGACAAATAGCAAAATCACCTCAACTATACTACGCACAAACGACACGCTCTATACTACTCAATTAGCAACACAACTACTTATAGCATCATTCACATAAATCTATGCACACATCTCTCAGTATACACACAGACACGTACCAATGCGCACAATCATCCAGTCACTCTGCATTACACAATAATACAACCAGTCACAACCGCTACAACGCAGATCACGACCACGAGCACAACTGTTCAGTGCTGAATCGCATATATAGGATCGTGCGCATATTGACGAGCGTGTCTTTCTTTGTCCAGTGACAATGGTGTTATCTTATTTGAATTTGATGTGCCTGCTGAATTCACGGAAGTTGGTTTGAATTTTTATCGCTACTGACCTGTTACGTTTATGTCCTGTGATTTAAATCATCTTTTCAAAATCGGTTTGCGGTCCCGTTGTTAATGATATATTTTTATTATTTCGTTATTTTTACGCTGCTGATATATCGCTCCTCCTCCATTCTTTATGATTAATAATATTTTTATGTTTCTTTATCTTGTTTTTACTACGTTTTCTGATTCATTTTCTTTCCTTTGTTTCAGTACTTTCTTTCTTCTGCATCTTTTACTACGTCTTCGATGATGTTTCGTTTTTTTTTTATCTCAATCTACCTGTAGTGGTACTCCACATTTATCCAACTGAACTATAAATTTTTTCTTTTAAAATATTATTTCTCTAATCCGGGTATTTTTTTTGCACGAGCCATAATCCACTTTTCGATTTATGTATCTATCTTTTTTTAAATTGCTTTGATATATTATCTATATTTTCTGTATTGATCATTTTATATAAAATTGACCTTTTCATTCGTGTCTCAGTTCATTTTTTGTTTTCCCTACAGCCTACGTAACTTTATATCGATGTTTACTTTCTATTGGTTGAAATTGTTAACTTCGCCTATCAACCAATAAGAATAAAGATAGACTAATTTGACCTGGAAATGTTTCAAGTTTACCTTTTGTGCATTAAGAATTTTTTCAATCGTTTATTTACACTAGCATTGTTCTTATTGTATCACAGTGTTGTTGTTGTTGTTTTTTTTTCTTCTCGGTTGTCTTATACAATCATGAAATATAAACATCTACTGTCTAAACATATTAATCAAGATCTATCACAACAATATGACTGGATCTCTGTAAATCACAATACAATGCACAACAACGAACAACCTGTACAATTGGAAAGTCAAACAAATTCACTAATGAAACCTACTGACAATCAAACTTTCTATCCTACATTAATACATCCTACTTGTACGCCTGTGATCGAGTCTATACCAGTTATAACAGGAAATATATTGAATGAAGGGGATAATAATAATAATAATAGAGTTTCCACTAATCAGAACACTAATGAACCTCCTTGTCGACTTCAAATAAATACAAGTAGTTCACAATTGTTATCATCCTCCACAAATTCATCACAAAACTCTGATTTAACAAATAAATGTCAAATCAAAGTAAACAATTTTACAAATCCTCCTAAAATTAAAAAACGTAAGTAAGATCTTCGCTTTATATTATTAGTTTTATACAATATTGAATTATATTGATCGGTGGATAAGAAATAATAATGTATGGGTATTTTTATTGACTCTGTATAATCTGAAGGCTGTAGAGATTTAACATATCTACAGCTGACTTTAGTATTTGATGATATTTTAATGCGAACTGTATAAGCTGATATCTAATCAAATGACAAGACTAAATCCATATCGTGTAGTAGATATTCAATAATGATTCCTTCGAAAAGATTGTGGAAATTATTGAATCTCATTAGAATCATGCATTCAATTGGCTTTAGACCAGCATTAGAAAGCAAGAACTAAATGGACCACCGTTTCGTCCTAGTATAAGACTCATCAGAAGCATTAGCACTCTAGACCTGTCCTGAGTACAATACTTGCTTGCAGCGTCATGAATAAGTACTACTGATAACTTCGATACTGGGATAAAACAGTTGTTGAATGTTTGCCACTATTAAAAACCCGGAAGCACTTGATGAATATCATATTATGACGAAACGGTCATTGATTAATTAATAATTTCAGTGAAACAATATCTTTCATTGATAAGAGTTCATTTTCTACAATAGACAATATCTGTTATGACAGTTTTTAATTTCGTGGTTTCATTCATTTATCACTCAGTTATTCAAAACATTAAAATCAATAGCCCATCTAAATGCCATCTAATTTATTTTGGTTAAGTATTCACAGAAATGCAATCCTCCTTTAAATGGTATTTAATATTAGATAAATATCTGAAGTTTGTGCTGATGATGTTGTTCCATAGAAGAACAATGAAAGCTCCACAACCAAAACAACCAGCTCAGAGAATTAAACACCACCACAATACTTCAATCTAGTTTGTATTCAGTAGTCGATAATCGACAAACAACTTATGGTTGTTTTACAATTCTACGATTATTATTTAGCTGAAATGTTTTTTAATAGTATTGGCCTTTTGAATATTACCTACCAATTATTTATTGGTGAAATAAGGTAGCAAGACCGTTGATGCCGGCTTAGTAATCAATGAGTTAAACATTCGTGCATGAGACTGGATGTTCTGGGTTCGACTGTGTCGCATGGGGGTCGTGGATAGGCAATGTTGATGAGTCCTATACTTGAACGAAGTGGTCGTTCAGTGTTTCCATGTTTTTAATAGAGTTCCAATGCTGATCGATTTCAATTTAACCAATTCGGTCTCGCGTGCTGTTACCGGTATGAAGGCGGATGTCACTTCCCGGCTGCCCACAACATGGAACGGTGTTTCTTGAGGGACCTGAAAATGACGGTAGATTAGTGTCGGTCTTAAAGACCAGAGAGCGTGACTACAGAGTCCAAGGGACAACTGCTTCAGGCCGGTCACGCAAGGATTTTTCGAGTACCAGCTCCGCTCTTAAAAATGCCTCAGTGGGCGCCCCTTACTGCCAAAGATGGAAATCCGTGAGGTAGGGTGAGGTGTGACATTTTTAGGGTCGACCATTTCTAACCCTTCCTTCCTTGTGGGAATGCAGCATCTCTGCAGATGCTAGTTGTCCGAGGGAAACACCTTACTGCTGTCAGACCCCTCTGCAGTCAGCAGTACGATTTCGGCCTCAGAACTTGAGTAGCTGCTTTTAGTCTCATCGTTCTAATTCTAATTTTCTGAATTCCTCATCATCTCTATCTTTCTGTTTTTAACTTTATTTCACTGAACTATACTTCTCGAATCATATATTCGCTCCCTAATCTTCTCTGTTACTGATAATACTTCTACTATCACTATCACTATTGGATTTGAACTGATAGTTGCGTCTTTGTGTGCTAATGTGGTATAGCAACTTGAACTAATTCACGTACGTACAAAGTTCTGTGTTGTATCTGTCTGTGTCTGTCTTTCTATCTAATGCTGATCGATTATCGATTTCAATGAGATTCTTCATTGTTTATTCAAATCACTATGGTTATAGTCATTCATCATTAGTCGGAGTACTATCAACCTTTTTAATGGTTTACGCGCATTCGAACGAAAATCAACTCTTGAACAGAGTCTATATGTATGAGAAAGCCGGAGATTAGGTGTTCAAAATTGACTCTTAATCACCTATTCATTTACTGCACAAATCCATGTGTAATAAACGTTATCGTTAATTATTATTATCATTATTATTATTATTATTACTATTATTCACTGTTATTATTATTATTCATATATTTAGTCATGCAGGTATTCAAAGTTCACCATATATCAATTTTTGTCATTTTACTACTGTCCTTAACTTACTACTTGAAATTTTGAGCATTTATATACATACATAAAGAAGGTTCATATCAGTAGTAACTTATTTTTAACAGATCTTCAGCTTTTTTTCTAAACAATATGTCTGTACATCTAAATCTCTTATCGTAATACAATATGCATTAGTGTTAAAAACCAAATGTGTATGACCTGCTTTTTCATATTGTAATCATTAAATTTATCAATAGATAGACATACACACATACACATACACACACATATACAGATACACACACACAGACACATTTACTTACTTACTTACCGTGACCTTAATCATATCGCTAGGTCAAAGGGCATCAGACTAACTAACTGACTGACTGCATAACTAACTAACTAAGCTCAGTTCTCTATCTACTTGTGTAAAAAATTATATACGGGTAATGTACATAGAATAATACTTTTCTACAAAAAAAACATATTTCTGAACCATCTTTCTTTATCGACCAAGATTTTTTTCTTCCCTCTCTCTCTCTCTCTCAAACTTCAGCTGTTATTTCAAAGAACTTTATTTTCTTTTTACAATAAAAAAAAATGAATCCCACAAAGAATTTCGCCTTTGAATACGTGATTACGAACATTAACACAGATAAGTTATTTGTAACCATGATTCGATCAATGTTAGACCACCATTAGAAACCTGGAAGCACTGGACGGCCGTTTCGATCTGGCATGGGACTCACCAATGTCAGTGCGCATCCACGACTCCTGCACCCCGCGGGACTCGAACCCAGGACCTTCGGTATTGTGCGCAATCGCCCCAACCGTTAGACCACTGAGCCGGTATCCAACGGTGTTAATGTCTAACTTGATCAAATTCACGGAGTTGCACAACCTCATACCCTGTATACATCAGAACAGGTTTGAACTCCACTGGTCACATATGATGAGTCCTATACCAGGACGAAACGGCCGTCCAAACTAAAATATGGCACAAATCCAAGTCACTGACAACTGGACTGAGTCATGTTGGTAGATGTAGGCTACCTGGTTTGAGTCTACGAGTTGAAAGTCACTGATGGTTAGAGACCTTGAATGGCATAGCTCAAAATCGTTTGCAATGGCACAGGTGCATCCACTCATTGTGTTCTATGAAACTCTAATTTTCTGAATTCGTCAACACATCTACCTTTGTCTTTCTAAACTTATCTCACTAAATTATACTTCTTGAATATTATCTTCATATCCTAATCTTCTCTATTACTGATAATACTTCTACTATCTGTACCATTATGGGATTTGAATTGACAATTGCGTCTCTGTGCTAACGTGGTGTTGGATCTTGAACTAATGTACTTACGTACGAAGTTCTACGTTCTAACTGACTGACTGACTGACTGACCGTCGTTACAGGTTCTATCCAATTGCTGTTGATTCTTTTCATGTCTGTCTCTGATTCTTGGTGTGATGTGTTTTTTGGTCGTCCTCTTCTCCTTTAATCTTTAGGATTCTTAGTCAGGGCTTGTCTTGTGACACAGTCGAGTGCTTTCTTTAATGCGCGTTCTATCCACGTTCAGCGCTTTTTCCTAATTTCTTCATCTGCTGGAATCTTGTTTGTTCTCTCGCATAGGAGGTTACTGTTGATAGTTTCAGGCAAACAGATTCGTATTTTCTTGCGTAGAAAACTGTTAATAAATATCCGTATTTTTCGGAAGATCGCTTTCATAGTTCTCTAAGTTTCCACCCCATACATACTCGCTTCGGCGGTACACATACTAAAATTGGAACGATACAGAGATTATTAGTATAGCCAGTGCGCAAGTATGACACTGAATTATACTTCTTCAGTAATATCTTGGAGCCCTAATCTTCTCCTTTACCAGTGGTACTTCTACTATCCCTACCACTTTGGTATCTGAATTCACAATCGCGTCTCCGTGCTAATTTGGTATGGCAACATGAACTGATGTACTTACTTACGAAGTTCTACATTGCAGCTGACTGACTGACCATCCCATACAGTAGAAGTGTCTTGACATTTGTATTGAAACCTGTGACTCCGGTGTTGGTTGATAGTTGTTTGGAGTCTCAGATGTTCTTCACTTGTAGAAATGCTGTCCTTGCTTTGCCGATCAGCGCTTTCACATCTACATCTGTTCCACCGTGCTCATCCATTATGCTGCTCAGATATATAAAAGTTTATTCATCCTCTAAAACTTCTCCGTCAAGTGTGATCTGGTTTATAAGTGACCTCATTTCAATACAATAATAACTAATAGATTACATCATTTGGTTTCTTGCACCTTTGAAATTAATTAAGATTTTAATATCAAGACTAGTCCATTCAGCTTTATGTTTCGAAACTCCAGTTCCATGACTTACTTCTACAACAAGTAAATTCATTTTATATGCAATTCAATCAGTAAAAAATGATTCAAATATTATTGATCGTGTTTCAATTAAAATATCAATAACGGGATAATACATAACATTTAATCTTATACCAGTTACACAAGTAATTGGTTGTTTGAAGTCATTAGCTAAATGGATAACGTTCAACCATCTCCACCACTATGAGATTTGAACTGACAGTTGCGTCTGTGTGCTAATGGCAACTTGAACTGATGTACTTACGTACAGAATTCTACGTTGTAACTGACTGACTGAAATGAATAACGTGATAACTTAGGAAGCAAACGAGACTCAGTTCGAGTCCCAGAGTTAACATCAACCCCTGGAATGCCGGTACATCTAATTAAAGAAGAGCACTAAAT